ACACCTTTGCTGGTTTCTAGCTGCCTTAACTCATGTAGCTTTATCCTAACTAGTGCTAGTGTCTGTTCTCTTACAATGTCCCATTTCAGTTTATGTTGACTTTTCTGGAACTTTGCCATTCTGCATAAACTTGAGAGTCATTTCAACAATGTCTATAGCACACCTTAAGAAACTTTCATTGGAATTAAACTGACTCTGAGGATATATTTTGGGGAAAAATGATACATTAAGAATATGAAATTTTCTAAACTATACACACAGAATGTCTACTTATTTAGACTGTCTTTGATTTCTTTTTCTTTTTTTTTTGTCTTTGATTTCTTTAATTAGAGTTCTAAATGTAAAACATACAGATAGTTTGTTAGATTTAAGCCAATGATTGCATTTTGGGAGTCTGAATATAAATATTGCTGTATTTTTAAATTGCAATGCCAATCATTCAATGCTGGCATACAGAAAAATAATTGATGTTTTCACATTAGCCTGTGTCCTGTGACCTTAATAAACTCTATTATTAGTTCCTGAAAGTTTTGATTAATTTTTAAAGTAGACATTCATGTCATTTGTGAGTGAAAACATTCTTATTTCTGCCTTTCCAATTTGTATGCTTTCTATGTTTTCCTTATTGCATTGCAGTAGCTAATGCTTCTAATATGGGGCTGAGTAGTGAAAGGGGACCTCCTTGAATTGCTCTCAGTCTAATATGGGTTGCATTTTATTTATCTCCATCAAATATGATGCTAGCAATTGTCTTTTTATATGTTCTTTATCAAGTTGAAAATCTTTCTCTCTAGTACTACTTTGCCGAGAATTTTCACTCATAAATTAATTGAATTCTTCGATTCAGTTTACATGCTTGTATTTTTTTTCATTAGCCTGTTAATGTGGTAGATTTTTTTGAAAATGTTAAATTGGTCTTGCATATTAAAATAAACCTTATTTGGCCATGGTTTGTAAACTGCTTCACACATTGTTAGGTTTAGTAATATTTTATTGAGTATTTTTGCCTTGAGATATGGTTCTGATATTTTCCTTTCATGTTGTAATGGTTTGTATATGAGGGATAAAAAGATGTCTCCCCAAAGATCATGTGYGAGACAATATTCAGAGGTGAAATGATAAGATCATAAGAGTTGTAACTTAAGAGTGGATTCATTGATAGATTAATAATTTAAAGGACTGCTGTATTAATGTGGTGACAACTGTATGCAGATAGGGTGTGACTGAAAGAAGAAGGTGGTTGAGGGGAGTGCCTATATAGTTTTTATTTTATGCCATTGGAGCTCGATCTCTGCTTTCTGACTTCCATGAACTGAGCACCATTCCTCTGCCAGAAYCTTCCACCATGATGTTCTGCCTCACCTCAGGCCCTGAGCAATAGAATTTGTCAACCATGGACTGAACCTCTGAAAAACCGTGAGCTCAAAATTAAGCTTTTCTTCATCCAAATTATTCTTTGGGGGTATTTTGGTTAAGGGAATTAAAAACTGATTAAAATGCTTGTGATGCCTGTATCTTGGCTTTGGTTTGTAGTAGTGCTGACCTCATAGAATAAGTTAGAAGGGATCCTTCTGCTTCTATTTTATGGGAGTAATAGAGAATTGGTACTGTTTTTTTTCCCCCTTAAATGTTTGATAGAGTCACAATGAAACTATCTGTGTCTAGTGCTTTCTTTTTTAAAGGTTATTAGTGATTTTTAAAAAATTGATTCTTTATTTGTACACATACACAATACCTTTATTTTATGTATTTTTATGTGGTACTGAGGATTGAACCCAGGGCCTCACATGTGCTAGGCGAGCGTTCTACCACTGAGCCACAACCTTAGCCTAAGGTTATTAGTGATTGATTCAACTTCCTTAATAGATATAGGCCTATTCCTATTATCTACTTCTTCTTTGGTGACTTTTAGTAGTTTGTAAATTTCAAAAAATAATCTTATTTGTTTCAAATATTTGAGTATAAATTTGTTTATAATATTTCTTTATTATTCTTTTAGTATCTATGAGATCAGCAATGATACCTCCTCTTTTAATTTTATTAACAATTTAAATTTCTCTTTTTTTCTTAGTTAATTTGACTAAAGGTTTGAATTTTATTGATCCTTTCATATAAGCAAGATTTTGTTGTTGTTGATATTTTCTCTTGGTTTCATATTCTTTGGTTTCTCCACTAACTTTAATTCCTTTCTTCTGCTTTTTATAGATTTGTCTTATATTTGTTTCCCTAGTTTCCTAAAATGTAGCTTAGATTATTGATTTTCAGTACTTTTTATGAATTTCATGCAATAAATTTCCCTYTTAAGCAATACTTTTTTTCAATTGTGAAAGTTTGATTAGTTGTACTTTCATTTTTTTTATTCCAAGTAATTTTTAAATTGTCTTGAYACATCTTTGGTTTCTATGTTATTAATTTAGTGTGCTTTCTTAATCTCCATATGTTTTAAGATTTTCCATCTTTCTGTTTTGAATTACTAATTTAATTTCATARTAGTCTGATAAATTCTCTGTAGAATTTCTATTTTTAAATTGATTAAAGTGTGCTTGTGGTCTACCACATAATCCACCTTGGTAAATAATTCTATGTGATCTTCATAAGAATCTATGTTCTGTTATTGTTGGATGATGCATTTCATAAATGTCAATTTGATCTAGTTGTCGGATGGTATGTTTACAACTGTGTCCTTACTGATTTTCTCACTGCTGTTTCTCTCTCTCTCTCTCTCTCTCTCTCTCTCTCTCTCTCTCTCCAGTTTCATCATGTATTTTGATCCACTATGGTTAGATGTGATTGTTTTAATAATCATTACATATTTTTGGAGAATGTCATCATTTTGTAAGGCCCTCTTCTTTATCTCTAATAATTATTTTTTGCTTAGAAATGTGTTTATCTGAAATTATTTGGATTATCCTTTAGCTTTAGTTGTCGGATGGTATGTTTACAACTGTGTCCTTATCTCTCTCTCTCTCTCTCTCTCTCTCTCTCTCTCTCTCTCTCTCTCTCTCTCTCTCTCACTCTCTCTCCAGTTTCATCATGTATTTTGATCCACTATGGTTAGATGTGATTGTTTTAATAATCATTACATATTTTTGGAGAATGTCATCATTTTGTAAGGCCCTCTTCTTTATCTCTAATAATTATTTTTTGCTTAGAAATGTGTTTATCTGAAATTATTTGGATTATCCTTTAGCTTTATTTTCATTGATGTCAGCATAGTATAACTTCATCTCTCATTTTTTAACAGCTTTACTGAAATATACTATTCAATGTTTTTAAAATATGCATAGATAAATGCAAACGGCACCACCATGATTTTTAAATATTTCAAAATCTTCAAAAAAAATTTCATATCTTTCCATTATCACTATCCATCCACTTATTGCCCCAAATCCTAAGCAACCATTTATGCATTTTCTGTCACTGTAGGTATAATTATTTTGGTCAGTTCATATAAATGGAATCATATAATATGAGATCTTTTATCATTGGATTCTTTACTTAATGTGATATTTTAAGGATTATCCTGCTTTTTTGTTTTGTTTTTTGRTTTTTYTTTTTTTTTTGCATGAAATASTGTTTCATCTCTTTTTAGGACCAAATAATATACCATTGTAGAGATACACTACATATTTTTATTTATCAGTTGATAAACTTTTAGGCTCTTTCCACATTTTGGCAATTATAATAAATGCTGCTCTAACTTTTTGTGTACAAATTATTGTGTGAGACACATATTTTAATTTTTCCTTAGGTAAATAATGGAGAGTGAAATTGTTGGTTTATATGGTGGCTCTATGTTAAATTGTATGAGAAACTGAAAGACTGATTTGCAAAGTAATTGCTTCATTTTATAGTTTCACCAGCAGTAAATAAGAATTCCAAATTTTCCCTCTTTACATCAACTCTTATTATTATTTGATATTTTTTTTTCTATCCTTCATAGTTGGTTTAAAGTGTGCTTTGAAGTTTTGGTCGATTTGCATTTTCCTGATGGTTAATGAGTTAAAGATCTTATCATGTGCTTGCTGGCCATTGAAACTTTTTCTTTTGAATAAATGCTGGCTTAGGTGTTTTTTCCATTTAAAAAATTGAGATACTTGTCTTTTTATTGAGTTTCAGGACTTGTTTGTATTTTTGAATATAGAAGATGTAGGTTATCTCTCAGATATATTTAATGATTTTCTGTCATTCTATACTTTTTCCATTTCAGGTTTTTCATAATGGTTTTTGAAGCAAAAATTTTAGTCCAGTATTTTTTTTATTTGTGTTTTTGTGTCATATCTAAGAATACATTGCTAAATCCAATGCCATGAAGATTCACCACTCTAAGAGTTTCAAAGCCTTAGTCTTATATTTAAAACTTTATTTCAAGAATCCAGCCTCATTATTATTCATGTTTCTATTCTATTCCAACACTGCATGTTAAAAAGATGATTCTTTCCCCTATTAAATGGTTTTTCATAAAATCAGTTGACTATTTTCCATTTCTTTGTGTTTTTAAAATTACAGAAGAATTTCATAGACAACTCAGGTTTGGATCATGTTTTATTATCACTATAACAATTTCTGTAATTTAATTGTTATATCTGGATCATTCATTTTTCAGTGATTTTTGAGGTATTCAGTTTAATCTCTACCATGTTTATAACTGTTTTCTGCCACCTTATATTATTGTTTGTTTCATTTTTCCCTCTTTTTTTCTACCTTCTCTGACTTTACTGGAGAATTTTAACTCAAGTTTGTCTCCCTTCTTAACATCTGTTTTAAAAAATTATTTACAGTGATTGTCCTAGAGTTTGCAATACATATTTGTAAATAGTCCCAGTCATCTTTCAAATAACACTGTATTACTCCATGTAGTAAGGAGTGTTCCAATCTTTCACCCCATCCCCTATACTACTGCTGTTACTAATTTAACATATCTATTCAAAAAAAATCAACAAATACATTCTATTTTTATTTCTTTGAATGAAGAATTATCAACTAGATTAAGAAAAAATGCTCTCTTCAAAAGGACATAAAATAAAATTGAAAGAATACAGAGAAGATTAGCATGGCCTCTGCACATGGTAGGATGGCATTCAAAGTCATGAAGTATTTTATATTTTTATACCACAGTGGAGGAGATGTGTAAATTTTGAAAGTTCAATGTTAAACTAAACTATGAGGTAAAGATAATGTAATGAGTGAAATCAGAGAAAAAATACAAGAACTGAAATATAACCACAATAAGAAAATAGAGATTCTAAAAATGAATTAATTGGAAATCCTTGAAATGAAGAAATCAATAAAAACAAAATAAAAACTGAATACAAAAAATCACCAACAGACTAGTCCACTTGGAATATAGAATTTCAGGCAATAAAGGCAATGTATAGACACTTGAAAATAAATTAGATCATGGAGAAAGATGTTAAAAGTTTCTGGACAGAATCTTTAAGAAATACGGGATAACATTAAAAGGATAAATCTAAGATTTATCAGGGTTGATGAAGGCTCTGAAATATACCCTAAAGAAATTCACAACATCTGCAACAAAATAGTATCAGAAAATTTCACAAATCTCAAGGCTGCTATGGAAAATCAAACATATGAGGTACCCAGGATCCCAAATATACAAAATTACAATAGACCCACACCAAGGCACATTATTATGAAAATGCCTAACATGCAGAATAAAGATAGAATTTTGAAAGTTGCCAGAGAAAACCAACTGGTTACATTTAGAGGTAAACCAATTCAGATCTCAGCCAAGTTTTCAACCCAGATCCTAAAAGCTAGGAGGTCCTGGAATAACACATACCAAAATCTGAAATAAAATGGATGCCAACAACAAATACTATATCCAGAAAYGGTAAGCTTCAGAATTGAAGACAAAATAAAATCTTCTATGATAAACAAAAAAAGTCAAAAGAATTTACAACTAGAAAGCCCACACTACAAAACATGCTCAATACAGTATTCCACAAATAGGAAAATAAAAATAAAAACAAACAGAGAGAAAAACTGCACTACACTACAAAAACAGTCAAAGGAGAATCTAATTCAACTTACAAACTAGAAATAAATCAGAATGACAGGAAATAAAATCTTCTATCAAAAAGAACATTGAATGTAAATAAACTAAACTCATCAATCAAAAGTCCTAGGCTGGTAGATTGGATTAAAAAACAATACCCAACAATACGCTGTCTCAAAGAGACTCACCTCATAAGCAAAGACATCCACTGACTGAAGATAAAAGGATGGGGGAGGGGAACCATATTTTTCATATGGATCTTGTAAACAAGCAGGGGTTTCTATTTTAATATCAGATAAAGTGGACTTCAAGCCAAAGTTAGTTGTAAGAGACAAAGAAGATTATTCCACACTGCTTAAGTGAATCATACAACAAGAAATAAAATGATGATATTTATACATAAAACAGTGGAGCATCTAAATACATCAACAAATCTTTCTTAATATCAAGAAGCAAACAGACCACAACACAATAATAATGGGTGACTTTAACATTCCTCCTCATCACTAGATAGATGTTCCAAACAAAAACTTAATAAAAGACTTATAGAACTGAAAAATACAATTAATACTTTAGACTAAAGAGACGTATATAGATGATTTCACCCATCAAGGAATGAGCAGCACATGGAACATTTCCTAAAATAAACCACAAACCACATCTTAGGCCACAAAGCAACTCTCAGCAAATACAAAATTAAATAAATAAATCAAGATAGTACCCTGAATTGTATTAGCTCATAATGGAACAAAATTAGAAATCAGTGATAAGATAAAAATAATGACTAATTATAACACCCGTGGACTGAAGAATTCACTATTGAATGATGAATGGATTTCAGCCAAAATCAGGGGTGAAATAAAAAAAAAATTCTTAGAGGTAAATGATAACAGACACATAACATCAAAATCTCTGAGACAATAGGAAGGTAGTTGTAAGAGGACAAAATTACTTAATAAAATGTTGGCAAATATTATTTTMAAAACACATTAAAAAGAGTGTGCACCATGATCAAGTAGGTTTTATCCCAGAATGCAAGTATGGCTCAACATYCAAAAATTAACAACAGTAATTTATCACACACACACATACACACACACACACCTAAAGACAAGAATCACATGATTATTTCAGTAGATGCAGAGAAAGCATTTGACAAAACATGGCATCCATTCATGTTTAAAACACTAGAAAAAATAGGGCCTCAACACTGTGCAGGCTATATAGAAAAAACCCAAGCTAATATCATTCTAAACAGAGAAGAACTGAAAACATTCCCACTAAAAACATGAGCAAGAGAGGAATTCCTACTTTTACTACTTCTACTCAACATTTTCCTTAAAACTCTAGCCGTAGAAATTAGGCAAAAGAAAAAAATTAAAGGGACACAAATCGAAAAAGAAGAACTCAAAATTATCTCTGTTTGCAGGCAGCATGTATCTGTATTCAGAAAACCAAAAACCTCCACCAGAAAATTTTCAGGACTCATAATGAATTCATCAAAATAGCAGGGTACAAAATTAACACCCAGAAAGCTATTGAATTCCAATACTCCAATGACGAATCAGTTAAAAGAGAAATTAAGAAAACCATCCCAATTAAAATAGCCTCAATAAAATAAAATACTTGGGAAAAATCTAACAAAGGAGGTGAAGGATCTCTACAATCAAAACTACAGAACACTAAAGAAAAAAAAATTGAGGAAGACCATTTTTTTTGGAGAAACAGAATTAATATTATCAAAATGGACCAYGAGAACTACTACACAGGTTCAATTAATTACCATCAAAATTACAATCACGTTCTTCATACAAATATAAAAAGAAGTCATGACATTCCTTTGGAAAAAATAAGAGGCCCATAATAGTCAAAGGAATCACACCAGAAACTGTGCACATACTAGAAGAAAACGTAGCTCTAAACACTCCAACATATTGGCTCAGGAACTGACTTCCTTAACAAGACTCCTAAAGCACAAGAAGTAAAATCAAGAATCAATAAATGGAATAACATCAAACTAAAAAGTTTCTTCACAACAAAGGAAGCAATCAAGATCATGAAGAGAGAGCCTCCAGAATGGGAGAAAATCTTTGCAACCCATGCCTCAGATAGTGTGTTAATTTCCAAGATATAAAAAGAACTTAAAAAACTTAACACAAAATAAATAAATATAGATAGATAGATACATAGATAGATAGATAATCCCATCAATAAATGGGCAAAGGTACTAAATAGACACTTCACAAGAAATATGAATAGTCTACAAACGTATGAACATGTGTTCAACATCTCTAGCAATTAGAGAAATGCAAATTAAAACTACTCTGAGATTTCATCTTATTCCAGTCAGAATGGCAATTATCAAGATTAAAAGTAACCATAAATGTTGGCAAGGATGTGGGGGAAATAATAAACTCATACATTGCTGGTGGGACTGCAAATGTGTGCAACCATTCTGGAAAGCATTATGGAGATTCCTCAAAAAACAGGAATGGAACCACCATTTGACTAAACTATCTCACTCCTCCATATATATGAGGACTTGAAATGAGGACATTATAATGACACAGCCACATCAATGTTTATAGCAGGTAAAACCACAATAGCTGAGATATGGAGCCAACCTAGGTGCCCTTAAATAGATGAATAAATTTTAAAAATATGGTATGTATACACAATGGAGTATTATTCAGCCATGAAGAGGAATGACTTTATTGCATTTTTAAGTAAATGGATGGATCTGGAGACTATCATGCCAGGTGAAACAAGGCAGTCCCCAAAAGCCAAAGGTTGAATGTTTTTGCTGATATGTGGAAGATAACACACAATGGAATATTACTCAGCAATAAAAGAGAATAAAATCATGGCATTTGCAGGTAAATGGATGGAGTTGGAGAAGATAATGCTAAGTGAACTTAGCCAATTCCAAAAAACTAAATGCTGAATGTTTTCTTGATATAGGAGGCTGATTCATGGTAGGGTTGAGAGGGGGAGCATGGGAAGATTAGAAAAACTCTAGATAGGTCAAAGGGGAGGAAGGGGAAGGGAAGGGAAAAGGGAGTAAAAGAGATGGTGGAATGTGATGGACATCATTATCCTAAGTACATGTATGAAGACACAAATGATGTGAATATTTGTACAACCGGATATGTGAAAAATTGTGCTCTATATGTGTAATATGAATTGTAATGCATTCTGCTGACATAGAATAAAAAAAGTAGAATAAAAAAATCTTAAAATAAAAAAGGGGGGTGGGAGAGGAAGAATAGAAATTCAGTAGATTAGATAAAGGGGAATAAAGGGAAGGGAGGTAGGATAGGAAAAGGAAAGGCAGTGGAATGAATCTGACATAATTTTTCTATGTACGTAGGTGAATACAACACAGTGAATCCCTCCATCATGTATATCCAAAAGATATATTCCATTCTTTTATTATTATATCAAAATGGATTCTACTGTCATATATAACTAAAAAGAACCAACATATAAAAGAATAAGGAAGCTCACTTTGTTCACCTTTATTTTTTCTACTCCTTTTTTTTTAGTTGTAATAAGAACCCCCAACATGACATATATGCTCTTAAATTTTTTTCACTTGCATAATTTGGCAYTCTTAATTATAGGAACAATATTATAAAACACATCTCTAGAACTTGTCATCTTGTATGAAACTTTGTGTCCACTAAATGGTAACTCCCATTTTCTTCCTCCTTCCAGACACTGTCAAAACACGATTCTCTTCTTTATTTAGATGAATTTTAATATTTTAGGTATCTTATGCAAATTGAATAATGTATTATTCATTTTCTGTGACTAGCTTATTTCACGTAGCATAATGAYCTCCAAGTTCATCCTTGTTTTTAGCATATGGTGAGATTTCCTTCTTTTTAAAAGCTGAGTGAAAATTATGGCCACAGTGTAAAACAAATGCTTAGTCATTTATCTTATCTTACAGGCATTGTATCACCTCACATCATCATTAAAAGAAGGTTGGTATAGTACAATGGGATTTTGAGAAAAAGGGTCAGAGACCACATTTGCATAACTCTTATTGCAGTATATTGTTATAATTGGTCTATTTTTATTATGT